AACCGATTTTGATGAAATTTGGCATAGAGATAGTTTGAGTCCCGGGAAAGAACATAGGATAGTTTTTATCCCGGTTTTTGAAACAGGGACGCGCGCGATAAAGTTTTTCTGTGACAGACAAAATTCCACGCGGGCGAAGCCGCGGGCGGAAAGCTAGTTTCTATATAAGAATCTTTTGTCCAGGAAGTCAGAACAATAGCCTTTTACCTCACCACTAGAAATGCAATAGCGCAGTTATGACGGCTCGATAAAATATTACTCTAGTACTGCCGAAGCGTGCGCATCGGACTTTTGAATTATTGGAATGATCTATTGTTTCGGGCTTGGATTCGGACTTGCATGAGGCTTACTTTCACTGGCCATAATAATAAATAGCTTAAGAGAAAAAAAATACCTATACACGAATCAAGCAATCAAATATGCAAATCTATGAATATGAATGATGCATATGACAGAGCGAGTTCAAAACTGGATTCAGTCCAAGCATAGGTTTTGAAGCTATTGATTGGTTGAATTCAATATTTAGACCAATTGGTCTGTCTTTTTGTAATTACAGGATAGAATCTCTAACAGAGATTCAAGCGTTGTTTTTGTTATGCTACTTGATCATATTTATTATCATCATTGTAGCGGACAGCCGCTCGGGCGTGCAGAAATAAGAAAATTCCTTCGTTTTAAATAAAGGTGTATTTCTGCAATATATGCCCACAACGGCTATCAAAAACATATACTTTAAAACTGGAAACAAAAGGTATCAAAAAGAGTAAAAATAGTATAAAAACATAGACAATATCAAAAAGAGGTTGGTCCACCTATCGGTTCCCTTAAATCGTTTTCAACCCATTGAGTGAGATGCAAATTATTTTGAAGTCGTAACGACTGCATCAGGTTTATTTTCTATCAAGTCTGCGCACTTTAAGGCATAGCTTAATATCACTTTACTGCTGTGATTATAAGCCAGTTAATCCATTCCGAGCTTGTCTATTTGCGACTGAAGCGCATACATTATCTCTTCCACGGCCGTTAGAGATAGAGTGATTTAGCGCTCAGTAACGCTCAGCGGCGAGAAAACCGCAGACTAAAGGTACGTTCACGTGGTGCGTGCAAAGACGTCGCGTAGACCGACCAGGTATATGAAGGAATAAGTACCACTAATGCTCTCGGGAATTGCATATCTTTAGATACAGTACGGTGTATGTGAAAAAGACCATGCATTTTTTTATTGAAACGCATTAATTATTATTTAATTTTCTTTTATTTCTAGCCTTCCTGTATTTCTCACTTAAAGGGTTTCCCATACTTTCTTTTTAGCATCCCGCTTAGATATGATGCCATTCCGATTATTCCTCAGTTCGATAACATTCCCGGTGACGTTCCCTAATATTCGTGATCAATACAAACATTCAAGAACCTTGCCAATAATGTCTCGAATTGGATAGGGTTCCCGATCATGATACACTTTTGAGCACACTACATACCTATGTGAATATACCTTAACGCGGTGCGGTGTCGCCACAGTTTTTGTGGAATGCCTCTAATAGTGGTTATTACACTTTTTCCAGCTACTTGGCATTTTATTTATTAACTATAAGTGCCGTAAAACGTTTCGTGCGTTGCCAGACGGATTTATAGCGACGACTTTACGAACTGTTTATAAAATGAGTAAAAACGCACGGTAATTTACTGCGTTCAATAAATGCGATGTTGTAGCTAAACTATGTATTTCAACGATATTGGTGCTTGAAGTTTTTATGAGATAATAAAATACATAAAGTATTTTAAAGAATTTAGAAACAACAAAATATTTTTGCACAAGTTCACTTTTACGCAAAATTACTTGTTATATTTGGATTCATTTCTTGTCTATGTATTTAATCAGTTATGTAGAAACAAAATGCTTTACGGCACCTAATCAAACTAAAAACCAATTGATTCACAACATTCCACCTTCAACAATAGAGTAACAACCAATCTATTGTATAACATTTCCATAAAAGTGCTAAATGGATTCAAAATCAAAGTAAACCGACCATGAACGAGTCATTGTGCGTCGTTTTATCTCGAACATCGCGTTGCGCAACGCTCGTGTTTGTACAAGCAAGGTGCACATTGTGGCCGACACGATTGGCCCTCGTCCGAAATGCCAACCTCTTTATAAAATTACAAATCAACTTTTTGTCCATCAAGGAGCTTTCGCTCGTCATCGGCGTTGCATCTATTAATCATACCTGTCTTTTTCAGATGTATCGGCGCGGCGAGCGCGGGAAAGAGACGGAGGATGTAAAGCTGCGCGCGCGCTGAGCGGTGGCGCCGCCACGCGTCAGTCCGGGCGAAACTGCCGAAGGCTTTGGATGTGTCCGTATTTCACGTTCCGATTCTCTTTTTGAATTTCGAGTTAGTTTTTTATGTGAATAAGTGTATTGGAATTTGTCTTTTGGAGAGAAATATTACAAACTAGTGATGTGGATTCAGTGTTGTGCAAAACGATGAGCGGACAATGAGAGTGAGTGTAACGTTTTCAAACATATCTGATGGATGAAGTGCATTGTTTGGAGTGAGTACACCGTGGTGTCGTGTTGTGTTGTTTGTGTATCAACATCGATCTAATTGGATTTTATTCAAGGTAAGAAACTTTCGATATTATCGTTATTTATCTTTTTTGTGTTTATTTGTTGGCCGTAAACACAAAAATATTATCATATATTATATTGTGTTTAGCTCAGCAGATAAAATCTTTAAATCAAAGAAAAAGAGTACGTTATTAAGAAAATGATCTTTTATACGTATTTAAGTTAAGTACTCTATAAATATCCAATACAATAAACTGCTTAATTTATTCAATGCTTGCAAATCAAAAAATCATCTCTTGGCATCACCATATTCACCATGTATAGTTTTAAAAATGATCATCTGAAAATTTTATCCGTCCTAGTTAAATAATGGAATCATTAAACATTATCAGAACTTTTAGTACAATACTGAGTTACCATAACATTGCATTCGGTAATGCATTATGTAGGTACCTACCTATCATTAATATTGTCTTGAAGTGTGGAACACTGTTCGCATCATTGGCTTATCCTACAAAAGACATCAACGCGCGCTTACTGTTCATACATTTTTAATGATTGGATACAATAATGATATTTCAATCATTAGTGTTACCAACACCGTAGATCCCAATGAAATAATAGAATTAAGTTCAATTATTGAATGGTGTTTGTTTTTAGTAAAACCCAATTTCTTTGCAATTAATTTTATTTGCAAATCTTTATTAGATCTTGCAAATCTTTATAAATAAAGATCTTTTCATAATATAAAGAGATCTTTAACATTTTCTACGATACACTCCAGTTGTTTATATTGCACTCCCAGGCATATATTGATCTAATCTACACAACACAACTCTACACTCAAATTGCGATGCGACTTAGAACTGTTCTTACAAGACACGTATATTTATACCTCAAATCCGTACAAACATAGACCTAATTTTATCATGCTTTGGTGGGAAGTATTTTACCATAAGATTCCTTTATATTGTAGGTAAGCTGTAACGTGTTATGGTTATGAGCTATTAATAAATCAGGCAGATCACAAAAACCTCGGGGCGAATTGGCCATATATTTAACAGCCTCACTTATTAACCACACTACTGGGTCGTTTTATGGCCACTCCGACCTAAGGGCGAAAGGTTTTATTAAGCAACATGGTTGATAAGACGTAAACATTTTTGAAGTGATGATGACAGTATCTTTGTTGTTAAAAATCTATATTAATATTATAAATGCGAAAATAACGTCTGTCTGTTTGTCTGTCTTGCTTTCACGCCTAAACCACTGAAACGATTTTGATGAAATTTAGCATAGAGATAGTTTGAGTCCCGGGAAAGGACATAGGATAGTTTTTATCCCGGTTTTTGAAACAGGGACGCGCGCGATAAAGTTTTTCTGTGACAGACAAAATTCCACGCGGGCGCCACTCCATAAGATAAGTACAACATTTGTACGGTCACCTTATGCGGATTATGAAAAAAAAACATTTTTATTAATTAACTTTATTAGATGGCGGTAGTAACATTCCTCGCGATACAAAGTTGTCTTAAAGCTGTTTTTGTAACTCATAGATAAATAAAATAATATAACTTTTTGCATACTCCATTTGATTGTTATAAATATTTTTAATACAAAACCAACATTAAAGGATCTATTTAAATGAAAAATTCCAAAGCGCGGGCGTTCACCCGATCCAGTTTTTGTGTCCCACGCTGCACAGCTCAATCAGATCAGCCAGCTATAACTATGTTCAGGGCTTATCACCTCGTAAAGCATAATATAGCTACATTTGTTTTTAAAACCCTTTATAAGTAACGTCAATAACCGTAACTTCCGTAAAAGTAACTTATGAAATTGAACACCCGACACTTAGTTTTTGTAATCGTTTTGGCTGTTCTCACACAAGCTCCTGTTCGAAGTTTAATAAATCAAGCGCAAAATGTCTGCCTTGATGTATCCTGGTCATATTTTTAAATGTATTATACCTTACATTATTGGATTAGACATATTTTTGTACCTAGTTTTCGAAATAGCTCTTATTGAAACAATATTTCCTCATATTTATATGCACAACCTAAAAGATTGAAATACATAAACAACTCTCTAACTAAAACACCGCATTGCTATTGAAGTAATTGTCTACCTCCAATTGCAACTACATTTCAGTAGCACAAACTTTAAAATTAACATAGCTTTTTGTCAAATTTAACCTGAGTTGGATATTATCTGTAAGCATTATTTGATAGTCCTAACAAATAAAGTACCTTTGAGATTAAAAAAGCTCAGAATTTTTATAGAAACCATTATAGTAATTTTATACCGCCTACTTTACTCTCAGTTTGGCCCTAAGGTTGACTGGAGGAAAATGCCGAAAGGCATTAGGTCCGCCTTATGTACACCGTTCTATGTGCATATAAGTTTTAAATAAATAAATAAATATAGATATTACATGTAATACCAGTAAGAGGCATATGGGACAAACTTGCCCCACCTGAAGATGCCGGTGGGGAACCAGTTGTTGGTGGTCTCGGTGGTGTGGAAGGGGTTGGGCAGCAGCTTCGGCAGCTCCTCCTTGCCGTAGATTGTCAGCTCGATCACCACCCGGAACGAGAAGAAGAACCGGAACTCGAGGAACGCCTTCGACTTGTAATACACGAAGCACTCCATTCTGTCAACGTACATTTCATGAGTAATAAATTGTTGGAAATGGAGAGAACAAAACTGAAGCGATTGATGAAATCAGAAAATCTATTCCGTTCTATTATGGTATAAATGTCTTAAAGCGAGATGCTATAGCATGAGCGATAACAACAAATAAACCTAAAAATATGATACTCATTAGAGATTGCTCCAATGTTGAAGCGTAAAGCTATGGAATTGGAATATACTATTATGCGGAGAAGAGAGATGTGTTTGAATACCAATCAGATAGGTGGTGGAAATAACGAAATCTGAATCTCAAAAACACATATCCTTTTCCTCTACGCTTAGCTGGAAACGGGGCCCTACTTGCGTGCATCGGGGCCCTACTTGCGTGCATCGGGGCCCTACTTGCGTGCGTCGGGGCCCTGCATGCCCGGCGCGAGCCCCACGACGTCTCTGTGGCAGTGGTGCTCCAGCCAGACGGCCGCGTTGGAGCGGGACACGGCCTCCAGCGCCACAGACGCGCAGTAGAAGCCCGCCACCTGTCACTGTCAACCGCAAGCATAACAACGGGGCCCTACTTGCGTGCGTCGGGGCCCTGCATGCCCGGCGCGAGCCCCACGACGTCTCTGTGGCAGTGGTGCTCCAGCCAGACGGCCGCGTTGGAGCGGGACACGGCCTCCAGCGACACAGAAGCCCGCGACCTGTCACTGTCAACCGCAACAATAACAACGGGGCCCTACTTGCGTGCGTCGGGGCCCTGCATGCCCGGCGCGAGCCCCACGACGTCGCTGTGGCAGTGGTGCTCCAGCCAGACGGCCGCGTTGGAGCGGGACACGGCCTCCAGCGACACAGAAGCGCAGTANGCCTGCAACCTGTCACTGTCAACCGTAACAATAACAACGGGGCCCTACTTGCGTGCGTCGGGGCCCTGCATGCCCGGCGCGAGCCCCACGACGTCTCTGTGGCAGTGGTGCTCCAGCCAGACGGCCGCGTTGGAGCGGGACACGGCCTCCAGCGCCACAGACGCGCAATAGAAGCCCGCGATCTGTGTCACTGTCAACTGTAAAAAAAAAAACTTGATGAGAGTTTACCCAAAATACATTGAGTTATAATGTACTATCGCCAACAGTGTTAACTGCCCATTGCCGATCATGTCGTCTCGTTTTATCGCAAAGAATCACCATTTGATGAGAGCGAGAGCAAAAACGGAAATGGATAGTTAACACTGTGGCCGTGTGTACTACGTAGTAATATTACTTCAATGCCGAAATAGAAGTATGTTGAAACACAAAATTTCATGCGATAAACCCAAAAGAGACGGCACGATTTGTGTAATGTACCCGTATAATTATTACTTTCTAGATTAAAAAGCATACGAGTAATCCTTACAAAGTAGAATCCTTGAGCAAAGTTCTTATTGACGAGGACTTCCGAGCTGTCCTTGAACAGGACTCCGCCGCGGTCCTTGCGCTCGCACTGACCCTGATCCTTAGGGATCTTGGTTTCACCTGGAACCATTCACTTTATTATAGGAATACGCACTTCTTTTGTTCTGTTGAAGAACAAATTATGTATAATAACACCCTACTGGAAAGCAAGACGCCAACAAAGCTAGCAATTCAATAGTAATATTTCTTACACTGCTTCTAATTGTTTGTGTGTGCTGATTATTAGTTAGTTTTAAAATGGGAACAGCTGTAGAAAACATCATGATTTATGAACAATAGAGTTAAATCTTTCAAATATTATTTAAACTAACTTTCCTACTTAAAGAGTAAACTTTAGAGTAGTTGTGTTTCCAATTATTTTTACTTAGCTGCTACGAAAGCTGCAAACAGATAGATCAGATTCATAGTAAAATGCATTGAATTACCAACATCAGGACTCCACAACCCGTCTGATCAGGCATTGTACTCTATTTGGCTCGGAAATTCTAGATAACCTTGATTTTGAAGTGGGTACCAAAATGACCTGACAATGATGAAAGGCAATAACTGACCTTTGTACATGACGAGTTTGATCGGAGAGAGTCTTCTGAAGTACAGCTTTTGCTCCTCCTCGTCGCCCATGTCGAGGTCGGAGAAGGAGACCAGGGCATCGATCCAGTCCATGTAGTCGTGGATGTGGATAAACCGCGAGGGCGCGCCGCAGCCCGGCCCTCGGACTCCAAAGCCGACCTGTGACGAATATACAGAGTAGAACAGTCGTCTACTCTATTGATAGTTTTGTATAGTCAAGAAATCCCCCGGGATAAATTTGCTCTCACTGGTTAGGTTTTTATTGGTTCAAACTGTAGATTCTGCCTACACAAGAGTTGCAGCATTGGTAAAGAGAGGTGGGAATAGTCCCGTAATAGCCATTAAATACGCAACTAGTGAAGCCAATGTTTGTCAAAGAAAAGTTATAAGTACTGGCGTTTGACCCGCGACGAAATGTATGAGAAGAAAATGGGAAGAGTGCGAAGTTAAGGATCCTTCCATTTTTCATAAAGATGACAAAACAAAGGTAAACTTTAAAAAAAATGATTTACACGAACTGTAAGCTACAATGTTAATATCAAAAAGAAGAAAGAAAGAATAAAATGTTTTAAAAATCACAACGATATCATGTGTTCTGTTAGCTTCTTACTATCGTTCGCAAAATCGCATAAGTGAGAGACTGGGAAATCCATCAGCAATCGGACGGCTTCTAAATACTATGAAGCGTGCTGCGGGTGAAATAAAAAACGAAGAAAAATAGGCAATCGCTCAATGGTTTGAGGATTCCGGGTGAAGCTCGCTTCCACTTTTGGTCTGATCATCTCTCTCCACCTGTAGCCAAGAGCTTCCTCGTTATAGATGAAAAAATAAAGTGCACTGACTAGTTTCCAGTAGCCCCAGCCCTGGCGCGTGACGAGCGCGGAACCGCCGTCCCACACGCACGGCGTCGTCAGCTGGTCCACCACCGCGCAGATCGGGTTGATGGGCCGCATCTTCTTGTACGTCAGCTAGAAAAAGAAAGAAAAGCACTAAATAGTGTTACAAATAAATAATACAACACGCAAAAGTAAGGAAGCACATTCGTATGGCAATTGCTTGGCAGGAAACTTTTTACTTGTAAGGTCAAAATTAGATTTTGAAAAAGAGTAGTCTGGTGACATACCAACGATAACTCTCACCTTAGCTTTATAATAGAACTCTTCACAGTCTTTCTCTTCTACGAAACTCATTTTGTATGCTTCTTTGAATACTTCGCCTTTTACTAAAAGATAAATGTAAATCGTACGATAAAGTTACATTATGAGAAAATATTAATTGGTTTCCAAGTTCTCTAAGTTATCAATGGCTGAACAGTCTCACACTTAATATGAATCAAAATACAAACCGTCCGTCATTTTGATGGCGTACAAATCTGATAAGCTGCCGGCCCCTGTCACCGTCATGCATATTGGAAGAATGGGACCTAAAAAGTTAAGAAAATTAAACATACACCCTCTTTATATGAACAAACAATTGATAAGCATAGAACTAAACGACTCTACGTCGACATATGATTTATTATATTGTCTTTCTGTCACGCCTTTTTGTCACACTTTGTTATATGATGGAAAAAATATAGATCAACCTTTTAGCTTTTTATAACTTTCAATAATTCTGAGTATATCCTCTAATGCTGCTTACTGCCTGCCTCGCTGTACCCGATCTGGCCGTAGTTGTGGAGCTCCACCAGCGCGATGGAGGCCAGCGTGGAGCCTTCCACGAACTCAGGGTGCAGGGTGTAGTCCTTGACGTCCACGGTGTACTTCACGTCTTTGCTGTGCCAGGCCACGAACTGGGTGGTGTTCCTACGAGACAGGTTTTGATCAAACGAGATTGTATCATGTGATTTGCGCCCGTATTTACAAACATTACTATGAGGTCTTACAGTGCGCGTGGACGCATAGGGTGACACACGAACCAATCACAGAGCTCTCTATTCAACTGTGCGTTCGATTTGCTGCTTCACGTAAGCATTGTTTGTGAATAGGGGCGTGAGAGTGGCATCAAAGATGATAATGAAAAATTCTGTAAAAGAGCGTTTTATAAAGCCTACTTGCAAAGTAATGAATTTGAATCTGTTTCGAGAGTCTGTAATTTGATCATTTTGTTCACCGAACTATTATGGTGAAACCTACTCCTACCTAACATTACTCGTATGCATTGATACAATTTAGCGTAGCTGGAGAAACTACCACACCTTCAGACCATTTATGTACTTTTTTACCATATCATTGGAAAGTTAAAAAATGCAAGTCATACGCTAAAGTTTCTGGGTGGATGCGGGCCATGTCCTCAGCTGATGCGATGACGTATTCTGGGTGAATGAGGATCCCAGACGTCACCGCGAAGCGACTGCGCCCGCCCATATCTGAAAAGTCATGTGGAATTTTAGGTTTGCTTATTATGAAGCTGAGTACTTGGGGAATAGGTACTGTATTATAAAAATAATATGATTTTATTCTTTGAAGCACAGAGCATGATGATTGAATATTGTATCATAAAGTGAAATACACCTACAAAAACACAAAGAGAAATCTATTTCAATTAGACCGCCGGCTAATGTTTGTTCGTAACTCGAAGTGAGGCGATTCTCCCATACTTTTTGTATGGTCATTAGAGCAGTCCTTAGCGGGGCCCAGACAAATCGGGGCGAACGAACTAACTCATACAAAGCACTTTGTTCTAACGCGTATTTTGGTAATTAAAAGCTATTGTTGCAGGCCGTCGACGAGTAATTAGCCAGATATTGACCTCTTCTTTTGAATGAAAATGTTTGTACTGATTTGCCACGTTAATGTTTGACGTTTTTTGCTGTTTTGAATTTTTTCGCTAAAAGATTGATAATAATTGTCTGGTCGAAAATGCTTATAGTGGTGGTCCTCAAAGGGTTCACAGAAGGTGATTTGTCTGGCAGAGAATGCTTATAGTGGTGGTTCTCAAAGGGTTTCACAGAAGGTGATTTGTCTGGCAGATAATGTTTATAGTGGTGGTTCTCAAAGGGTTTCACAGAAGGTCATTTGTCTGGCAGATAATGTTTATAGTGGTGGTTCTCAAAGGGTCTCACCGAAAGTGATTTGTCTGGCAGAGAATGCTTATAGTAGTGGTTCTCAAGGGTCTCACAGAAGGTGATAATAGTTGTCTGGTAGAGAATGCTTATAGTGGTGGTTCTCAAGGGTCTCACAGAAGGTGATAATAGTTGTCTGGTAGAGAATGCTTATAGTGGTGGTTCTCAAAGGGTCTCACAGAAGGTGTGCTGTATGATGCCCATCCAGGGGAAGCGGCCGATGTCGTCGGTGGCGCCGTCCGGTATGCTCTGCTCGGGGTCCGGCGCACAGCGCATGCGATCCCAAAGCAGCATCGATGAAGTCTCTGAAAGAAAATATGTATTACCCCATCTTTTCCTCGTTTTTCTATTTGAAAAGGGGACGCATTAGTGAGGGTTTCCCAGAGTCAGGATCTCACACTATAATGTCCTGATTGGAACTGAACAGGTGCCTTTACGGCACATATTTTGTAATCATTAGCATCATAAATTGCGCGTCAAAAAAAAACAATGTTAGAGGTTAGATTTGTATATTTTTTTCAATACGAGTAATAGATGAATGTAGGTAGTTAAGCATCTTGTGGGTTAATATCAATATCACTGATCGAGTTAAACACACCTTTCAAAGTAATAACTATGAGCATGAACATAAACTTTTGAACTCCCATGCTTCATTCACGTAACTCATATCACTACTTAAAACACTGGTGTCTACTTCAACACTTCTAATCGCAGACTGGTAAAACCTACACCCAGTGGTGCGCAATTTTGAACTAATTATTTATCAACACTGCAATTGTGCATATTTACGGATGTGTGTCTGATATAGAGCGAATAAACAGTTTGTTTCCCACCAACCCGTAGCGGCACCACTGTGCAATGCGGCAAAACAATGTGGTGGGAATCAGAGCTGTGTTTACATTTTTAGGTTGGATTTTTTCGTTTGCGCGAGACGAGTCAGTCAAGAATCATTTAATTTAGCAACACCATTGGGCTACATGGACGTGACGTGAGGAATCTTTTTTTACAAACGTTATATGTCTTTTATCTGTTAATTTATAGTGGTCTCTTCTAAACTATCATCGCTTAGACTTTACAAGATGGAAGTACAGAACACTCAAAAAAAGAAATATGTAATTATTATAAAATATACCGATGTTAAATCATCTTATACATAGGTGTGTACATACACAAGTTTCTGAGTGATGCACTTACTTCGAAAATAAACTCAAGCTCATCGTCGTCAAACCTCAAACGCAAATTGTCCGTAAAGCTCAGATGACGCTTTCGGAAGCTTTCTGCTTGTTCAAGGCACTTACGCCAGCTGTTGCGCCCACTCTCGCCAAAACAAACATAGAGGCCGGCGTACAGTCGGGTTCAAAACTTATTAAGTCCATATTCATACCAACTCTACCGTATAGAGATTAGAGGACCACATCTATGTTTGGACGCAAAATATGAACGTCAAGTTTTAAGAACTTCTATATCGTATCGGAAATGACGCTCCAAAGGAAAATGAGTAATTGTGTGAAATTTTTGGAGAATTGCAAAAGTTTCGAAAAAAAATTATAGCGATGATATTAGCATAAGACCACGGGAACCCGATGCCTATAAATCTTGAATCATTCCCAATCAATCTCACTAGATGGCGACATAAGTATCGAATTTCTGAAGACGTTTGTAAAAAGTCACTAATGCTCAGTAAACTATAATGAAAAAATGTTTTACACATTAATTTGTTCATTTAAACACAGTGAATGATTCAAATAAACAATATTTCTTCATATAATAAAATTTTATCTTTAGTAAAAACTGAAGTCTTAAACAATCGTTTTTGCAGAGCTGATGAGCGCTGTAGAAGTAGCATTTAGTTACAAATGATGTAATAGATGGCGCTCATCGCTGCTGTTTTATTTCGTCACTTATAAAAATACTAAAATAGGTTTGGTTTTGCAACAAATTATTGTTTTTATTAATTGTCATAATATTTCTTGTAAAATGCAAAAAAAAACATCTACATTCAAATAAAAATGAAAGAAACACAAATTAGCATTACAAAAGTTCGGCTATAATTTGTCTAACATTGTGCATTGTGGCGCCTAAAATCGACAATATTGTATTTTTTTTAAGATTATTAGCAATTTGTATTCCAAATATTACTAATAGTCCCATTAGCCCCTCGTGTTAAACTCGTGGCTATAAAAGGTTCGATTGTTTTCCTTCCAATTATGATAACCTACCCAGTGTCACTCACAATAATAATTAAGACGAATCTTAATCTAAAGACCTACATACACTGGAAAAACATAACCCTTTTTCTGGTGTAGTCGGTTATAAACTGTATTGCCCATAATAATGTTTAAGGTCCACCTTTTGTTCATAATGTTAAGAGCATTATCCGCCAGTCAACGTTTCAGCCACGCAGAGAGCTGTTAGTAGGTAGGTGCGGTGCAGAGGTGCAGTTAATGTTTTTTTTACTCATTTAATTTATTTTAAGATATGTATAGCAAATAAAAAAAATCTTTACCTAGTACCTATTAAAGTGAACCCATTGTTAATACCCTGTTTAATTCCATTGTTAATTATTAAATTCGGCCACAACATAAACAAAGTGAGAGCTTTGCTGTCTCACTCGCACGCTCCATACCTACTAGCTGGCCACGCCGAGACGCGACCGCGCGGCCCATTGGATTGGCGTCATTGAAAGTAGAAGCAGGGTGCGCGAGCGGCAGGCAGCGAATGTTACGGTAGACAGTAGGTAATTATCCTTAAGCAAGTTCTCTCCCAAATACATGTCAGTCTGCATCAAGTTGTATTTCACTTATTTAAAATCAAAATGCAGATTCATTCGTGTGCGTTACCTCAGAGATATCGTCGCTTGCCTCTCTAAGTGACGTATCTGACATTTTTTTCGAAACTGAGTTATCTACACCATCTTAATTAATTTCGCAAGACGAATCGATCTATCTAATCGCCTGAAAATTTTGCAAAATGTCAGTTACGTCAGTTAGAGAGGCAAGCGACGATATGGTGACGCTGATCAAGATGTGCTTATGTCATGGAAAAGGTAGAGCCTTAAATCCTGTAAATATGCCGAGAATCTAGCATTTTTGCCCAATAAGATTTCGGAGTAATTGAAGAAAATAAGATTCCGTTGCAGTAATGCTTGGAAACGTTACTGCAGCCACATGATTTTTACCCATTAGCCTTAGCCAGATTATTTTTTTTCAATAAGTAGCTTATATTTGTGCCTTTCCATGGTCAAGCAGCGACATTTGTGCCCAACCAACCAAGCCAATCTCTTTAAATGTATTTATTTATTTATTTCATGAAAGAAACATACAGCTTTTATATTACATATAGGTACAGGAAAACTTTAGTTTATTCATAAGCCAAAAAAGTTTCCAATGTTAATTTGTCAATAGCGAAGACATATATTATAAAAAGCCAAATCGTAAGCCTTACCATGTTTAACGTTAAGGTAGGTACTTACGAAGAAAAGTTTAATAGTGTGAAATTAAGGACCAACTTATACTTCAGTTAATAAGGTTATTTAGCGTCTTCAATAGAAAGGGATAATATTCTAAATTTGTCTGATCAATTTTTTTATGAATGTTTACCGATTTCTCTGTCAAACAAAAACCGATTTAAAAAAAATATTTTTTGTTTGAAAGAAATCAAAACCACTTTTGACTGCAAAAATCTGTCCATCATTTACATTCATTTATATAATTTTTAATATTTTTACAAATAAAAGCAAATTCAGAATTTTTTTTTATTGTTATTCTTATTTCTACCTATTAAAGCAATGAAAAAATATTTTTTCTTTCTTTCTTTCTTTCTTAAAAATAAACTATGCATAACCCGTGCGCAAAAATACTGTAGACAGTTGTAATCGGTTAATTACAAGGCGTAGAAAGTAAAAATTCAGTATGCATTTATTTGAATATAAAAGCACTGCAGATTGATTACCATAAAAAGCAGTTATCTTCTTAAATATTGCCTTATTTGAGGCTCGAAATAAGTAAGCCATTTTCAGTTGTAAAATGATTTATTTCATCGAAAATTAGGCATAGGTATTCAAAATTTTCTGACATCTGACACTGCAATCACAGAGCGCCCTTTTTATCCGGTTTAAGAGCTAGAAGGTATTTTCGATTTTCACAGTAACCCATCTAATTCATATGCCATGCGTTATTTTTTTTGGAATAATTATTATGGCACCCATTGACACCAATCACATGCCACCTACCAATAAAAAATCGCATCTGTCCATCAAGTTTCATTCAAGTGTCATCGTCGGAGACCTGGGGGTGTACTTTGACGATGGTCTTTCATTTCGTTGTCATTACGACCATATTGTCACACGTTTTACAAGGGTCTTCAAGAACCAATCTACCCTTATATGCCTATACTACTCACTGATCAGAAGCATCTTAGATTATGGTTCTGTCATCTGGTCGCCATTCTACAATCTAGGTACACTCAGACCGAATTGAGGGAGACCAAAGAAATTTTCTGAATATTCTTTGCTTCAGATTGGGTTTGGGTCGCGAATATAAGTCATACAGGGCAAGACCGCTTCAAAATGACGTCTCTGGCCTCCAGACGTGAATGTCTTGAACTTGTCTGTCTGCATAAGATTTTGCATTCTGAACTTGATTCACCTAATCTTCTTTCCCTTCTTAATTTTAACACTCGCTACAAAATACAAATCCCGAAACCCTACCAAACAATATTTTCGCTCCAAATCTATAAAGACAATACCTTTTTTTACAACCCTATAACCAGAATGTGCAGACTTTTAATGACACTGTCACTGAACACTCTTCTTTGGTTATATTCTGTTCTAAGTTGTACAAATTCAGGAGAGGTAATATCCTGAATATAAAGTCAAGTTGTCCTTTGTAAACTTTAATAACACTTAATAACATTAAATACTAAGCATAAAATGAGTTAAACTAACACTATTTACCCTCTTTATTTCATAATTTTCAATTCATTCTGTGCACACGACATCATGTTAAGTAAGAGTTAAGAGTTGCGGTTTAGATTAATATATGGATTATTATCTGTGCCTAAATATGACCGTAACTTGTTTTGTGAGCCTTAAATAAGTAAATAAATAAATAAAGTCGTTCGAAGAAATGGAAATCCCCAAAACGTTACCGCAGCGGCACCCGCAACCTTTCAAAACCACGGGGGGCTCAAACGTCGCTGCTTGACCATGGAAAGGCACAAATACAAGCCACCTATTGAAACACCTTAAATCTGGCCAAGGCTAATAGGCAATAATCATGTCGCTGCTGCAGTAACGTTTTCAAGCATCACCGCAGCGGAATCCCATTTTCACCAATTAAGTACTCCGCAACCTTACCGGGTACAAATGGTAGACTCTCGACACATTTACAGGATACAAAGCACCAACCCCTCCACATAAGCACATCCCGACCAGCGTCACCATGTCGCTGATGTAACGCACACGATTAATTTATGAATTATTAATCTTATCTACCTACTTATTTAAAAATACCAGTGTCGCGCGCTAAATGAAAACAAGCTTGGTAGGCAGGTACCCATCCATTGGGGCTACTCCCGATCCCAGTAACGTCAATATACTTAGTAGGTATGCATGCCAGCCATTCACGCAGCACGTGTAAGTGAATCG